GCACAATTTCAAGACTTGTGGGCTGCCTTTTTCTTCTTCTTTGGTGTGCTGTCAAACAAATGGAGCTGCAACCTCCACTATTGACTCAACAATCTCCCACTTGAGGACTGATTTCAATCTGTCCTAACACCTCATTGATCAACATGTTTATCTCTGCTCCTGGTTCTGCCGGGTCTGCCTGTTTTAATCATCAAGGCCGGTCGAAGCTGTACACAGCTTCAACTTTTCCAAAGTTACTGCCTTGGTCAACATGTCTGCAGGATTCCTATCTCCCCGAATCTTTTTCAGTTGCAACATCTTCTTCTCTAGAAGTTGCCGGATGAAATGATACTTAACCTCGATGTGCTTCGTTCGCGAGTGAAACGCGGGGTTCTTTGCCAGATGGATTGCACTCTGGCTATCGCTGTATAGAACCACATCCTCCTGAGGTCTCCCAAGTTCATTCAGAAAGTTTTGCAGCCAAACGAGCTCTTTGGCTGCCTCCGTCACTGCCACGTACTCAGCTTCCGTTGTGGACAATGTGACTATCTTCTGCAGCTTTGAGATCCAGGATACGGCCGTCACGTCGTAAGTGAACACGTACCCAGTAGTACTCCTCCTCTTGTCAAGATCACTTCCTACAAAATCAGCATCGACATACCCAGACAGGGTAAGGGTACCCCTGCCAAATACCAATGCTCGGTCCTTAGTACCTCTCAGGTACCTAAGGATCCACTTTACTGCCTCCCAGTGCATCACTCCAGGATTGCTCATGAACCGGCTGACTACTCCCACTGCATGTGCTATGTCTGGCCGGGTGCAGACCATAGCGTACATTAGGCTCCCGATGGCTGAAGCATATGGCGTAACTCTCATCCTTTCTTTTTCAGAGTCATCCTGGGGCGAATCCTTGTTGGACAATTTGAACTGACTTCCCAATGGCACTCGAACCGGCTTTGCAATATTCATATTGAATATGCACAACACCTTCTCAATATAATCAGATTGAGAAAGCCAAAGTTTACCAGCATTTCTGTCCCTCGTGATTTTCATGCCCAGTATTTGTCTCGCTTCTCCTAGATCCTTCATATCAAATCTACTTGATAGCTGATCTTTGAGCCTCTCGATCTCCTTGACATCCGATCCTGCTATCAGCATGTCATCCACATATAGCAGTAAAATAATGAAAGAGTTACC